TCACACACCTGTGCTCCAGTTTCTCCTCGACTTGTCTCCCGGTGACCTTCTTCCCAAAAGCTATATCGACCCGAATGAGGTCAGCGGGATACCCTGCAAACACAAACAGCTGTAGGGTGTTGGCTGCTTTGATGGCATCCAGCAGGGGAGCATCGAAGCTCTTCTTCACTGCGGGACTCTTCTCAGAACAGCTTGGAGAGGATTCATGTTGGCTCATTTCCTTGGATAGCTCCAATGCCTTTTGCAGCTGTTCCTCCTCATCCTCCAGCGAATAATGGCTTGTCTCCATGGAGTACTGGATAGCTAGAGATAGTTGGGCATCTTCTTCAAAGTCGCTAGACAGGCCCACAGCTCCTTCACTCTGCAGGAGTAACCCACTGGGATTGTTCCCTACAGCTGAGAGCTGGGAAGAATCAGCAGCTATCCCAGACAAGTCCTGGTCCGTCAGACTGGTTGGTTCCGCTGCTGAGTACAAGTCAACGTCGTCCATTTCATCGGGATTGTTGGAATTGGAGGCGGGATCTTCAGGTTTGGCATCGACGGCCGAGACGATTTTCTTTGCAGCTTCTAAAAGACCTACAGAGAGGTAGAGGGAAATGTTTGAAACTGCACAGAAATATATATTTATTCCACACATGGCAGTTATTTTAAAACATGTACAATTTACAAAACATGTACACCTATACTGGTTATTTTTTATAGTGCATGGTGGAAACAGTTTCTTCTGTAACAGTTGCTTACAAATACTGAAACATAAAACCAGAACACAATCAAAAGCCAACTTCATACTGTCTAATTAGGCTTTCTTTATTATTTTTCTTAAAGGTCCCATGTCACGGCCATTTCTACTGATCATAATTCCATTGTTGAGGTCTACTAAAATACATTTATATTGTGCAATGTTCCAAACTCACATTGGTTTCTCAAACAGCATCTCTGTATAGCATGTGTATTCACTCTCTGTCCTAAACGGCTTGTTGGAGCTCCTCCCCCCCCCCCCCTCCCTGTGAGCCCAGTGGCCGTCTGCGAGACAGCGAGACACATCGAAACCCAGCCCGAAACACACCCGCAGCCTGGCTGGGAGTTTGTGTGTGTGCCCAGGCTGAGTTCCGCGGTGTCTCGCTGTCTCGCCGACCCCACACCAGTGAGCCAGCTCACAGTGTCCCGCTCCTCGCAGAAGCAAGCCTTGCAACGTCCCGCCGAGTGTGTGTGTGTGAGGAAGTCCGCGGATTGGTCCAAACGTAACGGCTCCGCGGACGTAACGTAACGGCTCCGCAGATTGGTCCAAATGGACCAATCTGCGGAGCCGTTACGTTACGTCACTATACCCGAAATACGTCACTATACCCAAGAAGTAAACAATGGAAAAAGATAAATCCCCAACGAGGCGTTCTGGGGCAGCAGAGACAGGTCTTTTCTGTGTTAGAGTTGTACTCGCTACAGGGTGTACTTTGAGGGTTTGAGACTCTGCAGACCGTTTACATGCAGAAAAACCTTCATAACACACAAGGGGACGGGTAATAACCAGAAAAGCATGACATGGGACCTTTAGACATAAAAATGTTGTTACAGCCCTTTAAGTCATTCGGCAAAGGATTCCACTTCTTTAGAGACACGCATCTGCTTTAAAGATGGAGAAATGATTGTAGAGATGGATATCACCGTTACCTGGAGCTCCATTTTGATCCACATGCATTGAATCAGATCTTAATTCTTGAGGAGAACTATCTGAAGACACTTTGGGGAAGTTTCTGCCGGACATCATGTTCCATGCCGTGTCAAAGATGTCCTGAAATAGAAAAAACATGTGTGACACTGTGGATCTATTATAGACCTGGAGAAGGAGCTGCAAAAGCACCAAAATAATCAATCCCAGAATCCAGATTTTCCAGTATTTTAATCGGTCGGACGATTGATCAAGCCACAACAAGTTTCTCTATAAATATTGTTGTGTTATACGTGTGCTGACATCGAGCTGAGGGTGACAATAAAGAGGCAGTGAGAAGAGAAACTAAAACAAATCTAAAATCATTCAGCAGGTAATACTTTTTCAGAAACTCAGTAAACATTGGTGTTTCTCTTCTGCCTTTTGCCTTAAACTTAGCCTCAGGTTGTTCAGGCTTCAAGGGTTTTTGCTCATTAGGATAATATAATATAATATAATAATACTAATATAACATATAATAATAATAATAATAATAATAATAATAATAATAATCAGGGTTCATACACTTTTTCACCAATGATTTTCAATTACTTTTCCATGACCGTTACCTAATTTTCCATGACCAAATAAATTACTCTTTCTCAGCGGTACCACTGAAAATGGTTTATTTTAACATGGAACAGGAAAATAAGGTCTGCATATGAAACATGTTGTGCCTTTCTAAAACAAATCAAATAGGCTTACTAGCTTCTACACGCTACAGCAACTCAAATCTCTCACCAGCAAAATACCTCGACAGTTAAATGCCATTTTACGTTTCATTACTATACGATACAGTATGTATTATCATTATAGTATTACTATTTTGGTGATTAGATACAAATATATATTATATTCGATGCAACTTTAGTTACATTTCCATGACTTTTCCAAAACTTTGCCAAAAATATTGTTTTCCGTAACTTTTCCAGGGCCTGAATTTTCATTTTGAATTTCCATGACTTTTCCAGGTTTTTAATGATCGTACGAACCCCTGATTAATAAACTTTATTTGTATAGCACCTTTCATGCACAAAGCAGCCCAAAGTGCTTCACAGAAAACATAACAACTATATTAAAATAATATTAAAATAAATACAGAACAAGATCCTAATGAAATTCCCGTGAATTAAAGCCGACAAGAAATATGTTAAAATTAGGGCTGTCAAGTTAACGCGTTAATAACGCAATTTATTTTTAACGCCACTAATTATTTTTAACGCCACTAATTATTTGAACGTGCGATTAACGCATGTGTATTTGTCCTCGGCCCGCCCGTAGTTTCAGAGCCCAAAGGCTTGACGTTGTTGTTGTTGTTAGTTGGATGGTGGGAGATTCTAGCGAGAGATATGGATACAAGAAAGGGTGTTTTAAACAGCAAGCCAAGCACACAGCTGATGCTCAGCCCCGCTCCTGCCGCTCGCTTGCAGCAGACCACGCTTTAAAGTTTGTCGGGGAGACGCCTGCACAACAACAGCGATAGCTAAATGGGTGGCTACAGCTTAACATTGTGGAGGACGAGGGGCTGCGTTAGATCATTTGGATCGCATCCAACGTGTCGACTGCACATCACAGCGCATTATTTTGACCCACAGTGGGAACTTCAGTCTCATGCTTTGACTGTTATGAAGACAGAGGAGCGGCATTTCGCCGACAAGGCTTGTCTGTTTGAGCAACCGGCTCAGTGCAAAGAAGTACACAGGGTTGGGAGAGAGTGAGTGAGTGAGTGAGTGAGTGAGTGAGTGAGTGAGTGAGTGAGTGAGTGAGTGAGTGAGTGAGTGAGAGAGTGAGAGAGTGAGTGAGTGCGAGAGGTTCCAGGTTGTTGTGTTGAGAATATTCAGGAGAATATTTGTCATTTTTTCAATGATAATAAACAAACATTTGCATAAAGCATATTTGTCCACTCATATGTTGATAAGAGTATTAAAAACGTAAAAAATATTCCTCTAAGGTACATTTAGAACAGATAAAAAATGTGCGATTAATCGCGACTAACTATGGACATCATCGACTGACAACCCTAGTTAAAATAAAACAATTTAAAAAAGAAAATGTAAAATGTAAAATAAAAGCAAAGCAGTAAACGGTAAAACATGGACAATGATACTCGTGAGAATTGAAAGTTAACCCAAATTAAAAGCCTTGATTAAAAAGTTTTTTATTTGCTTTTAAGCATTGCAAGGGAGTTTGATGAAGGACAACCAATATACCTGGCCAATGGAGCGGAAGTGTGTGTAACCATGGTTACCTGGTGTGCGAGGTGTTGCCAGGGCACGGCCTTCAGATTGATGTACACCTGAAACTTCTTGTCCATCTCCTTCAGGATGTGCTGGCAGTCCGCCTCGTCGAGAAAGCGCGTCACTCCCGGAGCGTTCACTGTGATGACTCTGGTGCAGATAGAGGACACCACGTCCTGCAACACCTCCTCAGCCATCTGACAAGCGGTGGCATGGCCATGGATCTAAAAGGAACATTCACAAAGATAGACAAAAGATGAAACAATTTACTGAGACAAGGTTTTTTTCAAAAGCAATGCTAAAGGGATAGGCATTGAATACTGCTTTCTATTCCTCCATCTTGTGACTGTGTAAATCCCTCTCTTGGATATCAGCATGTGAAGGACACTGTTCAGGAACTAGTTGATGCTCTGGATGTGATGACTACTTCCATTCTGGAGAGGATCAGAAACACATGGATCCTGAGATTGAAGATCAAGCCGGTGACGAGTGATTATTACAAATTTTAAGTATTCAGAAAAAGTACGAATTTTGAGATTTTGAGAAAGTCAGATTTTTGAGAAAAGTCAGATTTTTGAGACAAATTCATAATTTTCAGTTTTTTGAGAAAAAGTCATAATTTTCAGATTTTTAGAAAAGGTCATACTTTTGAGAAAAAGTCATACTTTTGAGAAAAAGTCATATTTTTGAGAAAAAGTCATATTTTTGAGAAAAAGTCATATTTTTGAGAAAAAGTCATATTTTTGAGAAAAAGTCATATTGAGATTTTGAGAAAGTCATAATTTAGAGAAAAAGTCAGAATCTTGAGAAAAAAAGTCAGGATTTTGAGATTTCTAGAAAAAAGCCAACATTTTGAGAAAAAAACTCATACATCCTGTCATGTATTTTGTACATGACAGGATGTATGAGTACCTAGAAGAACCGGTATTCCTCCATCTTGTGACTGTGTAACTCCCTCTCTTGGATATCAGCATGTGAAGGACACTGTTCAGGAACTAGTTGATGCTCTGTATGTGATGACTACTTCCATTCTGGAGAGGATCAGAAACACATGGATCCTGAGATTGAAGCTCAAGCCGGGGACGAGTGAGATTTTTCCTAACATAAAAGATGAAACAATTTACTGAGTAAGCAGCAAAATGTATGTAAGCCAACTAAAACAAGGCCGACATAAAGAAGAGAATCAATATCAGTTTAGGTCACGATATATTTAAAACAGGGGTGTCCAAACTACGGCCCGGGGTCAAATGCGGCCCGCGGACCATTTTGAATCGGCCCTCAGCAAATTCAAAAAGTATAATGGAATATGGCCAACAAATGAAACTTGTGCTTGTCTTAAGGCCCGGACACACCAGCCCGATTTTGGGAGTCAGAGGCCGTCAGAGGCTGTCAGAGGCAGTCGGGCATTCGCGGCGCCCTACTCAGGTTTGTGTGTCCCGCACCGTTGTCTCTTTACGGCACCTTTTCACACCTCCCGACGCCTCAACATGTTGAATCGGCCGCGGGAGGTCAGAGAAAGTCGGGACAAGCAATCACTCTGTTTGGCTGTTCACACTACCGCTGCCTGCTGGTAAGGACAGTTATTGCCACTCGTCGACTGAAGTATTTGCGGTGTGTTCGTAGGCGGGCGGCGTAGCCGACGCAGGCGACGTAGCTGACGGAAAAGTTGGGAAAAGTCGGGACGCCTTCGGTACGCGTTCTTTGGTCTCAGGTGGGTGTGTAGCGGCCTTTATATTGTACTTCTTAAATATAAATGTACAAATATATCACACAGTAGTATTCATGTGTTAATAAGCCCACTTTTCAAATAAATGCAGTCAATTCAAGTTGGAAACATTTTCTAACATATCTTAGTTGATGAGAAAAAAGCCCAATTACTTATTTACAAACAAGCTTGAAATACACCCTTCATATTTCTCCTTATTATAATCACTCTGAGGCTTCTGTATTAAGGGATGAGCTGCCAACACTCACAAGCATCACGTACCTACATTTGATTGATTTTGCTAACTTATAAGGCAATATACCTCTGGAGAGTGGCCCAGCCCTTCGTATATTTTTCTGTATTCCTTTCGAATGGGGAACTGAAGCAGTTATCAATGCGTTCCTCAAAGCCCCCAGATTCCATTAACAAAACAGTAATTTTACCCAGAGGTTTTCCACTGCCTCAAGTAGGGCTGCACGATATTGGAAAAAACTGACATTGCGATATTTTCTTCCCCTGCGATATATATTGCGATATGAAAAAATACAGGAATTGAAGAAAAGAGCGTTTGTTTTGTCTGCAAACCATCCTTTCTTGAACTTTCATGCTATACAATTGGTATTTTTTTTTTACGATATTTAACCGGATGAAGGATTTTAGTCACGGACTTCTGGATCTTAAGTTATCAGAGCAACAAGCTGAGCTAGCTCGGTTATCCCGCTGTGATCTGATCAAGAATGATTGTGATTGGTGGTTTGCTGTGCATGCAGAGCCGGCATGTCACTCACTCAAGAACCCCTGACATGAGAGCCGCGCAAGTTTTCCTTTTGTAGCAAGCAGCAAAAGAATTGTAACATGACGTGTTGAAGTTCATTTGCCTACTTAATATCGCACGTCCTAAAAAAAGAAAATAAATTGCACCTCCTGCGATGTGAATATCACGCATATTGCGATTATCGTCACGACACGATATATCGTGCAGCCCTAGCCTCAATCATCTATTTATTTTTGTGTTATTTTGCTGGTTTGGTGGATCCTAACATGTGATTACAAACATCAAAGTCTTCAGCTTGGCTTCAGCTGCCTGTTCCCGAAACGGCCGCCAGGTTAATGTGGGAAAATATCTTATAAATGTAGTGTACATGTAGTTTTATTTATAAAGCACATTTAAAAGCGATTTTTGGTCGAGCCAAAGTGCTGTACATGTAATAAAAACACTTTACTACAATCACAATAAAAGACAATAAATTACAACAGATATATAAAAAACACAGGGAAAAGTCAGGAGTCGTGCTCCGCTCTGACTAGAAGGCCAGAGAGAAGAACCCCTAGGGTCTGGGCCGACCTCACATGGAGGGGCATGTAGCTAAAATACATTTTATTTGTAGGACCACTTCCAAATCAGTGAATTGGTTTGTCTATCATATCTATTTCACTATAAGCTAACACATCTATTTTAGTGTGCCTAACCCTAACCCTTGGGACTGCCAGCATTCACACAATGTAAGGAGTTTCCAGAAGTAAGCATGGCAAAGCAGGATATGAAAGCTGCCGATTAAAGCTTTGCAACCCCAAATCCCTAACCCTACATTAATGCACACAATATCTGTTCTCTTCTTTTATTACTGCCACATTTTATTCCATATTTTATTCAATTCTATTTAATTTTACTATATTTGTCATTATAGTGTTCTTAAAATAGTTCTCCATCTGTGTTTTTAATTCTTGTTTTACTTTTATGTATGCACCATGACATCAAGTCAAATTCCTCATACGTGTCAACCTACCTGGTGATACACCTGATTCTGATTCTTGAAGATATTATCACATCCCGCACCAACACCACCCAGAACTTCAACCTCACCCTTGACAACACCACTCTAACCCCCTCTCCTCACATTCGCAACCTTGGAGTCATTTTTGACAGCCAGCTCAAATTCGATAAACACATAAACCGTATCACCAGGACCGCCTTCTTCCATCTAAAAAACATTGCCCGCCTCCACCCCTCACTCTCCTTCCCGGCTGCTGACCCTCATCCACGCATTCATCACTTCAAGACTGGACTACAGTAACAGCATCCTGTACGGCTCATCATCCAGCATCCTAAATAAACTGCAATATATCCAGAACTGCGCTGCCCGCCTCCTCACCCACACCCGCTCCAGAGACCACATCACCCCCATCCTCCAGACCCCACACCCGCTCCAGAGACCACATCACCCCGTCCTCCTCACCCACACCCGCTCCAGAGACCACATCACCCCGTCCTCCTCACCCACACCCGCTCCAGAGACCACATCACCCCCGTCCTTCAAAACCTGCACTGGCTCCAGAGACCACATCACCCCGTCCTTCAAAACCTGCACTGGCTCCAGAGACCACATCACCCCGTCCTTCAAAACCTGCACCCGCTCCAGAGACCACATCACCCCCGTCCTCCTCACCCACACCCGCTCCAGAGACCACATCACCCCCGTCCTTCAAAACCTGCACTGGCTCCAGAGACCACATCACCCCGTCCTCCTCACCCACACCCGCTCCAGAGACCACATCACCCCCGTCCTTCAAAACCCCCACCCTACCTCACCGACCTGATCCACCACTACACCCCTTCCCGCAGCATTCGCTCATCAGAAGCGAACCTCCTTTCTATCCCCACACGAACCAAGCTCCGAACCTGGGGGGGGACAGAGCCTTCTCCATCGCCGCCCCCCCACCCTCTGGAACTCCCTTCCACAACACATCAGAGACTGCACTGACCAAAACACACCTCTTCAGACTGGCTTCTAATTTGTGAATTATGTTCAGGAGGCGTGTGGCGCAGTGGACTAGTGCGTTGGTGTTCGGATCAGGGGGTCACAGGTTCAAACCCCACTACAGTCGGCATGTCGTTGTGTCCCTGAGACACTTCACCCCAAATTGCTCCTGTGGGGATTGCCCACAGTATTGAGTACGTAAGTCGCTTTGGATAAAAGCGTCTAACAAGTTGTATTGCTGTTTTAATATATATATATATTTTTAAATTATATTATAATATGTGTTGCTGTTTTAATATTTATTCTATTTTATCTCGTTTTATCACCACTGTAAAGCGTCTATGAGCACCTGAAAAAGCACTTGGAAATTAAATGTATTATTATTATTTATTATTATTCTGATTCTACTTCAACAAATACGAAATGTCACTTTGACACGGCAAAAAAAAACAATAAGACTGTAGCTAGAAAACCAGTGCACTGCAGTCTTCCTCAAGTGATATTGATTGAGCGACACTTACCTTTAACCCACATACGTCCTCTGCTTCGAGGGGGAAGATGGACACTTGGTTCATGTCAGCCATCAGCTGGTGACGATGGATCTGGATGTATTTCAGCATGCCTGGCTCCATGGGGATAACAGTCTCCCTTTCAATGGGTGTTGTGAGAAACCCCATAATTGCATTCTGCTTCTCACTCTCCATCCCTTTCAGAGTGAACGCATCAATATTCCCTTCTCGTTCGGACACCTTGACAGAACAGAAACTCAGAGCCTGCATGAACTCTGACCACTCTCTGCAATATAACATGGTCTCAAACTCTGCGTCCACCGGTATGGTGAAGTGAGAAAGCTGGGATTTTAAAAAGCTACAAGCCTCGTTAGCAGAGTTTTGGGATAGCGAGGTTACCGAGACTTTACAATCTGACACCGTGTACAAAGCAGGTGACGCAGGTTGATTTACGGTCTCCAGTAGTCGCTGTTTGACATCTTTTCTTGCAAGGAACTGAGCCTCTTCTGGCTCAAGACTCAAAGCAATCTCAGCCATTTTGCCGAAACAGTCCAAGATGTCGTGTTTTATCTGCTCAACCTTTTGTCTGTCAGTTCCTTCGATGGTCACGCCGTTGTCTTTGATTTGGATGGTGAAATTCGGGTGTGCCTTTTTAGTGTCCTTTAGAAAGGTGCTGTGTTGAAGCACTGAGAGTTTTAGTGGGTCAGCAATAGCAACATGGCTTGAGAGTATTAATTCAACCTCCTCCATTTGATCCATGAATTCCTCTGCGGCAACTTCTACTTCTTCTTCTTCGTGGACGACAAGAGGCTTTAAGGACATCTGAGAGAGAGTCTGGCTGTTTTCATGGACCACCACTGGAGGACTGATCTGCATCGGAATATCCTCCAAGCTTCTCTCAGGCGTTTCTCGGCCTCCAGTTGCAGAGTCTTGTGTTAGAGTTAGACTTTCTGCGGGTTGAAGAAAGTCGAAGTACGGCTTCACGACCAGGTCATTACCGTCCAGTTTGTGCGTGAGATCCAGGATATGGTCTAAAGCTGTTGGAAGAAACATAAACATTACTGTAGGATACTGACAGAATCTCAACACAACACATGAGCATATAGGTTGGGATATACTACATACTGATATACACCTGATCATCAGCAGGAGAGGACTCTTTAAAGTAGAGACACTACATACTGATATACACCTGAACATCAGCAGGAGAGGACTCTTTAAAGTAGAGACACTACATACTGATATACACCTGAACATCAGCAGGAGAGGACTCTTTAAAGTAGAGACACTACATACTGATATACACCTGAACATCAGCAGGAGAGGACTCTTTAAAGTAGAGACACTACATACTGATATACACCTGAACATCAGCAGGAGAGGACTCTTTAAAGTAGAGACACTACATACTGATATACACCTGAACATCAGCAGGAGAGGACTCTTTAAAGTAGAGACACTACATACTGATATACACCTGAACATCAGCAGGAGAGGACTCTTTAAAGTAGAGACACTACATACTGATATACACCTGAACATCAGCAGGAGAGGACTCTTTAAAGTAGAGACACTCTTTCAAAGGTTGTACAATCTAAAACTTACACTCATATTTGACAAAGGACACCTTGGCTGTTCCCTCTGCAAGCATCGTCACTTCCTTCACTTTCTGATCCCCTCCTCGCTTGCTCTCAATGTACAAAGTGAGCAGATCTGCAGTGGTGCCAGGATGCAGGTTCTCCACCAAGAGCGAGTCCGTTTGCTCAATCTGTTCAAGAGTTACGACGGCCCCGTCGAGTTTCCTCTGAGAGATCTTAGCACTTAGGTTTTGGAAATCTACAAAACAGAAAAATATATTAAAAGGTCAACTATTATGCAAAATGCTCTTCTCCATGTCTCTTCTACATCAACATGTGTCCCCTCTTCTTCATGTCTCTTCTACATCAACATGTGTCCCCTCTTCTTCATGTCTCTTCTTCATCAACATGTGTCCCCTCTTCTCCATGTCTCTTCTACATCAACATGTGTCCCCTCTTCTTCATGTCTCTTCTACATCAACATGTGTCCCCTCTTCTTCATGTCTCTTCTTCATCAACATGTGTCCCCTCTTCTCCATGTCTCTTCTTCATCAACATGTGTCCCCTCTTCTTCATGTCTCTTCTACATCAACATGTGTCCCCTCTTCTTCATGTCTCTTCTTCATCAACATGTGTCCCCTCTTCTTCATGTCTCTTCTACATCAACATGTGTCCCCTCTTCTTCATGTCTCTTCTACATCAACATGTGTCCCCTCTTCTTCATGTCTCTTCTTCATCAACATGTGTCCCCTCTTCTCCATGTCTCTTCTTCATCAACATGTGTCCCCTCTTCTTCATGTCTCTTCTACATCAACATGTGTCCCCTCTTCTCCATGTCTCTTCTTCATCAACATGTGTCCCCTCTTCTTCATGTCTCTTCTACATCAACATGTGTCCCCTCTTCTTCATGTCTCTTCTACATCAACATGTGTCCCCTCTTCTTCATGTCTCTTCTACATCAACATGTGTCCCCTCTTCTTCATGTCTCTTCTACATCAACATGTGTCCCCTCTTCTTCATGTCTCTTCTACATCAACATGTGTCCCCTCTTCTTCATGTCTCTTCTACATCAACATGTGTCCCCTCTTCTTCATGTCTCTTCTTCATCAACATGTGTCCCCTCTTCTTCATGTCTCTTCTACATCAACATGTGTCCCCTCTTCTTCATGTCTCTTCTACATCAACATGTGTCCCCTCTTCTTCATGTCTCTTCTACATCAACATGTGTCCCCTCTTCTTCATGTCTCTTCTTCATCAACATGTGTCCCCTCTGTGTAAAGAGACTCTGAAAGTTTCAGGAACAAAGATTCTCTCTCTTTTTGATCCATTTTTATAAAAACCTGTCTGAAAATAAGCTGATCAGATTTTGGCCACTTTATGATGTCATAACGATGTTTTGTCTTGTGTAACCATTAGCCAATCAGCAACCAAGGTAACCCCCCCCCCTCCACCTTATCACCTGAATCTCCTCCTAGAGCACCATTGAGTTCTTTGTAACCAAATCTCTCTCAGAGGGGCGTGGGGAGGGGCTCCTTATTTTCATCTAAAGTAACAGACAGAGAATCAGCACTTTGGAAACAGGGCTGAAACAGAGGGGATTATGGGTAATGCTGCAATGATCTGTTTGGTGTTTCAGCCAATCAGAGACAGGCTCTGCATATATCTGAGACCTATAATATATTGATGAAAAAATCATAGGGGACCTTTAAAACAAAAATCAGTACGTTTCAAGAACACACGTGTCATGAAAGCACCTTTTGATAAGGGTTGGCTGAGGTGAATGAGGAAGAATTCTCTCCCAGCTGAAGGATAAAGGGTGTAGTCCGGCATGTTCAACCCCATCATGATCTCCACATAGAGCTCCACCATCTCACTGCTTGTGCTCGGTTTGATCCCCCGAAGAAGGAGTCTACATCGGTCCTTCGAGGCCGGCTTCCTCACACTCAGCTCCACATTATGCAGAACATGGTGCTCTTTAAACAGGACTTGGGCTGCAGCTGTGGAAAAGATCACAGAAGGAATAAATGCAGAATTAGCATACAGAACTTTAATGGTACTTTCATAAAAAGGAACATTCATTTTCTTGAATGCGAATATTCTTCTAACAACATGTGTTCTACTTTAATGTTCTAATTATAAAACATATCATATATATATATATCAGTGCTTCTCAAACCTTTTTCAGTAATGTACCCCCTTTGAAACATTTTCTCAGCCAAGTACCCCCTGACCGACCCCGAACATTTTTGATCGAAAAAGCCTATATAAACAATTACAATATAGTGATGTTCCCTCAGTGTGTGATTTATTAACTCCTTCGTGCATGCATTACAACAAACTAAGGATATTTTCATCTTCATGCATGAAAAAAAATAACGACATTTTTATAAAACAGATATTATATATTGTGAAAAACTATAAAATACAATACACACATTTGACATGTTTATATGAGGACCCCCTTGGTGGTTCTAGGAATATTTTATATAAAATTGTGTTTTCTATTTAACTTATTGTACTAAGATTATTTTTGTAATCATGCATGGTATTTTTTTAATTAACCTTTTTTTTATTTTTTTTTAAAAATCTCACGTACCCCCTGCAGTACCCCAAAGTACCCCCAGGGGTCCGCGTACCCCTATTTGAGAATCACTGATATATATTATTCTGAAATGGACCAATCTGCACAATGACTACTTTTACTTTAACTATATTTTGATGCTAATACTTTTCTCCTTTTACTTTGATCCCATGTTGGCATATAGTTACTAATTGTCCCAAGCATTAAACCACAAGTGAGTGGGCTTGTTTGATGAGGTTGGTGCATAATAGTTAGAACAATTCAAAGAGAGGCCAAATGAAGAACCAGCTAGCGATGTATTCTGCATCATGTCGTGCTTCTTGCATGCTCTACCCCCTCAGAAACAAAAGGGGTCTTTCCAGTAAGTCAGTGCAGGACACAATCCTGTACGTGTGCACCTGATTCTCTGGAGTTCGTCCAGAGTTTAAATGAGAAAAGGGCTCATAATACTGTAAATATCCAACATACAGTACCAGTCAAAAGTTTAGACACACCTTCTCATTCGAAGGTTTTTATTTATTTTAATTATTTTCTACATTGTAGATTAATACTGAAGACATCAAAACTATAAAAGAGCACATATGGAATTATCTAGTAAACAAAAAAGTGTTAAAAAAAATCCAGAATGTGATTTATATTTTAGATTCTTCAAATTAGCCCCCTGTTGCCTCGATGACAGCTCAGTGTGTGCAAACATATTAAAATAATCAAAAACCATTGAATGAGAAGGTGTGTCCAAACGTTTGACTGGTACTGTATATATGTGCAATTTAAATTAGTGTTGACAATAATACTGCTGCAATCTCCTGTTTTGCAAAGCTGTCACTTTCACCTAGAAATGTAGATGAGGAACGTTTCAAAATAAGAGCAGCTACAGTCAAAAGATAACAAATCACAAATATATGAATAATATATACATCAGTACCTTCCGTTTCTTCAAACACCAGCACAGCGCGGTCTCCCGTCTTCTCCACGGAGACGAGCTGACCTCCACCGGAGCGCCGCTTATTCTCAAAGTAGAGAAAGAGCAGCTCTTCATCCACGGCTGCAGGCAGACCCAGAACCTCCACCGTCCGCTCATCCAGGCTTTCAACCGGCATCCTGAAACAATACAATACATTGTTTAAAAGCTTACTGACTTGATGTTATACCTGTACACCTTTCATAAGTCCTCATCTAAGCCTGATTGGTAAGGCAGGAATGTATTAATACATCATTTTAATGGCTCTCCTTGTAGAAATTAGCTTCATTAATGTGATTTAAATTTTACAATTTTCTTTTTTATTAAATATTGGTCACACTAGAAAAACAAAAAGGAGCATTGGAAATTGTTGAGGAGTTTAAATCTATTTTTATTTTTTTATTTAAACAAGGTGACATTTCGCTGCTCCCCTAAACGATTTTTAAAAACGTGTAAATAATGCAGCCCTACGCTGTCGTATAATTGTCATATTAACAGATATTTTTCCACTTTCTAATGACAAAACATACTAAAAAACTGTCACAGCAGGATATTTTCCTATAGAGAGGCGAAGTCCCGCCCTTCTACTTCCGACCCATGGGACCTAATTTCGGAAAAATTATGTATTGCAGTCAATGGGGAGAGAAAGATTATCTCTTGATCCCGTTTGAATTGTGCCACGAATTACACATATGATGTTTGTCAATCTTAAAAAATCATTTCCATGTCAGAAAAGTCACAGTTTGTCGTAAAACTGTTGAAATATAAGACTATGAAAAATACGCAACTAGAAAGACTACAAATCCCAGAGTCCCGGTCCCGCATGCTGGCTCTTAGGAACCGACTAACTCCCCTTGTGTGTATGTACAGCTCTCAACATGCCCAGACTTGGAGTGATTTTCACCTCTTTTAATACTTTCCGCCTCATTCTGAAAGAAAGAAGTGAAATGTGCCAACGTGACGGCCGTCTGGGTGTGTGGTGCGAGACGGGAGATGGAGTTCATTGAGCGGTTTCACACAAAAAAAGTGTTACTTCACAGTTTTATTTTTTTTGACTTGCAAAATTATCTTTTAAATTGACAAACATCATATGTGTAATTCGTGGAACAATTCAAACGGGATCGAAAGTTAATCTTTCTCTCTCCATTGACTTCAATACATACTTTTTCCGAAATAAGGTCCCATGGAGGAAAGGGAGGGACTTCGCCTCTCTATACTTAAGACAATACATATTTTAAATAACAGGATTTTAGTCTGTAGTAACACATGCAATTTTGCATTTGATTAAATGTATTATTGAACATGACATTCATTGAATTTATTTTGTATTTTAATAAAAATCGGACTACATTGTTAACAATACATATTGGTTATTATATAAGGTTTAATTATACCATACTTCAACATACTTCCACACACTTGTGCGAAGGACTATATATGATAAGATAACTGTGTGTTGATTAATTCAATTCCATGCACATTTTTTAAGTACATTTCTGGTAAATCAATACAAATATTGGTAAAATCACACGATTTGTTCTGTTTTGTAGCAAAAGGAAGATGTTTACTGATAACGTTACTTCATTAACTACAGTGGTGTAAAGTAACATTTACTCAAGTACTGTACTTAAGTATATTGTAGAGGGACTATACTTGAGTATTTCCATTGCATGCTACTTTGTACTTCTACTCCGCTACAGTTCAGAGGTACATGGTGTACTTTTCCTCCACTACATGTATTTAATACCTTTAGTTACTTCACAGATGTGGATGAATGATGTGAAATATAATCAAGTGTTAAATCAGACTTTAGTTCCACCTGGAGTAAATCCACAAGCTACCCTGCAGTATACAAAGTCATTCAAACTAGCTGCACCTTTACCAGCTTTGAGAACACTTTCATGATCAATCATTATAAAACATATCATATATATTATTCTGAAATGGACCAATCTGCACAATGACTACTTTTACTGTCGCTACCTAACCCTAACTATACTTTGATGAGAATACTTTTCTACTTTTACTTGAGGAACATTTTGAATGCAAGACTTTTACTGTAACAGAGTATTCCTACACTCTGGTACTTCTACTTTTACTCAAGTACAAGATCTGAGTACTTCTTCCACCTATGATTAACAACACTAACTTATTTTTTATTTACATTTTGACACCACACTTTGAGCGTAATACCAGCATTTCTGCAGTATTTAACGCTATTTTAAGGATTTCTTCGCGTATAAGTGGACCGTTTCGAAATCAGCCTGTCATAGTGATTGTGGCCTACACACACAACACTGAAATGTGCGATGCTAGCCGACAGGAAGCTAGGCCTGTAGAACAGCTAACGTTACAGTAATCAAAAAGCATCATATATATCAGTGTATTGCTGCACACACATTACATTAAACAGTGTTTGGTTTCCTTCTGCGTAGTTTACCATGTATTTCTGAGAAAGTGAAAGTATGTAGCCACAGTTGCTATTTTCTTTAGAGACGGTATGGAGCTGTATTTAAGTGCAAACGCTTTTTAACATGACGACCGAATAATACAAATACATTTCCACCAAGGATTATCAGGGTTTTTAAAGCATTACTTACCTGTGCTACAAGGAAAACATATGCTAAAGTCGTTCGGTCCAAACGGGTTACACAGGATTGTAAACACTTCCGTGTTGTGCTGCGTGTTGACCAGCAGGGGGCGGCGTCACTTAAAGGGGAACACACCGTTTATCAGGACTGTGTTTTATTCAAGATTCAAGGCTTTTATTGTCATGTGTACAAAGCTACAGTGTAGTTATAACAATGACAATCTGAGGCCTCAGGCTCCTCCAACAGTGCAACACAATAAAACAGATAAAATAGTGCAAGTAAATACAAATAAAATAGAATATAATGGAAATTGTGCATAATAGTCTATTTACATGAACGTCACACCATTTATAGATAAATATAACGCACATTTATATTGGTGTTATTGAACCAGAGGTGGTATAAGTACTCAGGTCTTGTACTTGGGTAAAAGTAAAAGTACTCGGATCTTGTACTTGAGTAAAAGTAAAAGTAGTCAGATCTTGTACTTGGGTAAAAGTAGAAGTACTCGGATCTTGTACTTGAGTAAAAGTAAAAGTAGTCAGATCTTGTACTTGGGTAAAAGTAGAAGTACTCGGATCTTATACTTGAGTAAAAGTAGAAGTACTCGGATCTTGTACTTGAGTAAAAGTAGAAGTACTCAGGTCTTGTACTTGGGTAAAAGTAGAATGACTCAGATCTTGTACTTCAGTAAAAGTAGAAGTACTCAGGTCTTGTACTTGAGTAAAAGTACAAGTAGTCAGATCTTGTACTTGGGTACAAGTAGAAGTACTCGGATCTTATACTTGAGTAAAGTAGAAGTACTCAGATCTTGTACTTGGGTAGTAGAAGTACTCAGATCTTGTACTTGAGTAAAAGTAGAAGTACTCAGATCTTGTACTTGAGTAAAAGTAGAAGTACTCAGATCTTGTACTTGAGTAAAAGTAGAAGTACTCAGATCTTGCCCTTGAGTAAAAGTAGAGGTACTCAGAGATTCTGCACTATTTCTATTATATTCTATTTTTTAAATAATTATTTTTGTAGTTTTCCTTAAATACAATTACTGTATTGCAGGAGTTACTTGTAATGCATTATGTAGAACCATATGACTAACAGGCTCATAAACTCTGAACTCTTAAGTTATAGGCAGGAGATAATTAGACTCTTTTTATGTCTCATATTAAAGCCAACATTGGATCAAAGGGCCACGCTGAGTATTTCAAACTGCATACATTTCAGTCACTGATTTATAGCGTGAGTGTAATGGTAGCAGCAAGGACTACATAATCAGTATGCAGTACTTAGCTTTATGTCATTTGAATTGAGTTTTTTAGTTTTATCTTATAGAAGCAAACTACATTTTCATTCACTGGTAACATTTGAGAGTTTGGACTATTTTGAGAACATAACATTACTGATTAGTGGAAGAATAAAACATGAAAATACACCCTGAGGTTATTTTTTATTTTATTGTTTTTTTACATTTCGTCTTTTTGCATCTGGAGATTTCTACTAAATTCCCAAACAGTTTGCATTAAAATAATAGAGAGGCGAAGTCCCTCCCTTTCCGGGGGAGCTCCATGGGACCTTATTTCGGAAAATGTATGTATTGAAGTCAATGGAGAGAGAAAGATTATCTTTTGATTCCGTTTGAATTGTGCCATGAATTACACACATGATGTTTGTCAATCTAAAAGATAATTTTGCAAGTCAAAAAAATAAAAATGTGTCGTAAAACTGAAGTAACACTTTTTTTTGTGTGAAACCGCTCAATGAACTCCATCTCCCGTCTCGCACCACACACCCAGACGGCCGTCACGTTGGCACATTTCACTTCTTTCTTTCAGAATGAGGCGGAAAGTATTAAAAGAGGTGAAAATCACTCCAAGTCTGGGCGTGTTGAGAGCTGTACATACACACAAGGGGAGTTAGTCGGTTCCTAAGAGCCAGCATGCGGGACCGGGACTCTGGGATTTGTAGTCTTTCTAGTTGCGTATTTTTCATAGTCTTATATTTCAACAGTTTTACGACAAACTTTTTTGACATGGAAATTATTTTTGTAAGATTGACAAACATCATATGTGTAATTCATGGCACAATTCAAACGGGACCGAAATATACGTTTTCTCTCCCCATTGACTTCAATACATAATTTTTCCGAAATAAGGTCCCATGGGTCTGAAGTAGATGGGCGGGACTTCGCCTCTCTATACTCCTTTCAGCTCTCATAAAGGTGTGAAGTTTACACATGTTTTTGTGCATGTAAATGGCCTACAAAGTTTAAATGACCAAATGGGAGTTTCACTGTATATGTTATGTATATATATATGTAATATATTATATATATATATGTAATATATTATATATATATATATAATATGTTATATTGGTGAATTCGTGTCTAATCAGCTACTAAAGATCTAAATCTTCTAATAAGAGGCAATTGTAACTACTTAATATTCTGTTAGTTTGGTTAATCTATAACAATACTTAAAAACGCATCTTTTTAGAATGGCCTTTTACTAGATTATCTAAAACCCCCACTTGTTGCCATGCCGGCGTAAACATCGCTGCTTTCATTTGGTTGTATTGTTTGTTTTTGTTTTGTTTCAACCAATTTACTCTTTAGCACTTTGAGTTTTTTTTACTCAAATGAAAAGTGCGCTTATAAATAAAATTGATTATTATTATTACTTCATAAAAACCACAAAGCGAGTAATTCAGTAAACAAGTTGAGTCAAATGCAATTAATATGTTTAATGTATGTTTCTTACAGAGGGCTCAAACACATGAACATATATATGAAGGTGAACTTTTTAACAGAACTCCTAATTTATCAGAAAACACCTTGTGACTTGTGAAAACACATGAAAAACTTCAAGATGAATTTGATGAATTTGCAAACCTAAATGACCATTACTTGCTTCACAGTAAAACCACTCGTGTTTAGGAAAGGCAGAGATGACTTTGGCCATTACTTGAAACTCTGACCCAATGGTGAAAAACAGTGAATATCAATGAGCAAAATACAACAGTAACACGCATCTATTGTATATGTCTTCCTTTCTTCTTTGCATGCAATGTAAACAATGACGTTGCAGAGACGGTCCTTTTAATGAATGCTTATCTAAAATAAATAAAATACATGGTTTCAATGGCTGCAAACAGTGTGGCCAGAAATAGCATCAAAAGCAGGGTTTGATGTCATGAAAATATAAGAAATATATTAAATATAATAATGTCACGGCAGCACCTAAAATACCTGGCATCGTAATTCAAACCAACGCAAAAACATCAAAAAGTAAAACAAACACAACTAACAAACAAGAGATGCCATTAACAACAACAAAATAAAAATTAACAGTGGCAGGCATCTGGCTTGACCTCTTAAAGTCTTGGTCTTGTCTTGGTCTTGGTCTTGTCTTGGTCTCGACCTCTTAAAGTCTTGGTCTTGGTCTTGGTCTTGGTCTTGTCTTGGTCTCGACCTCTTAAAGTCTTGGTCTTGGTCTTGGTCTTGTCTTGGTCTCGACCTCTTAAGGTCTTGACTTGATCTCGACCTCTTAAAGTCTTGGTCTTGTCTTGGTCTTGGTCTTGGTCTTGTCTTGGTCTCGACCTCTTAAAGTCTTGGTCTTGTCTTGGTCTTGGTCTTGGTCTTGTCTTGGTCTCGACCTCTTAAAGTCTTGGTCTTGACTTGGTCTCGACCTCTTAAAGTCTTGGTCTTGTCTTGGTCTTGGTCTTGTCTTGGTCTCGACCTCTTAAAGTCTTGGTCTTGGTCTTGGTCTTGGTCTTGGTCTTGTCTTGGTCTCGACCTCTTAAAGTCTTGGTCTTGAATTGGTCTTGGTCTTGTCTTGGTCTCGACCTCTTAAGGTCTTGACTTGATCTCGACCTCTTAAAGTCTTGGTCTTGCCTTGGTCTTGGTCTTGGTCTTGTCTTGGTCTCGACCTCTTAAAGTCTTGGTCTTGACTTGGTCTCGACCTCTTAAAGTCTTGGTCTTGTCTTGGTCTTGGTCTTGTCTTGGTCTTGACCTCTTAAAGTCTTGGTCTTGTCTTGACTTGGTCTTGTCTTGGTCTAGACCTCTTAAAGTCTTGGTCTTGACTTGGTCTCGACCTCTTAAAGTCTTGGTCTTGTCTTGGTCTTGGTCTTGTCTTGGTCTCGACCTCTTAAAGTATTGGTCTTGACTTGGTCTTGTCTTGGTCTAGACCTCTTAAAGTCTTGGTCTTGTCTTGGTCTTGGTCTTGTCTTGGTCTAGACCTCTTAAAGTATTGGTCTTGACTTGGTCTTGTCTTGGTCTAGACCTCTTAAAGTCTTGGTCTTGTCTTGGTCTCGACCTCTTAAAGTATTGGTCTTGACTTGGTCTCGACCTCTTAAAGTCTTGGTCTTGTCTTGGTCTTGTCTTGGTCTAGACCTCTTAAAGTATTGGTCTTGTCTTGGTCTCGACCTCTTAAAGTCTTGGTCTTGACTTGGTCTTGTCTTGGTCTCGACCTCTTAAGGTCATGACTTGGTCTAGACCTCTTAAAGTCTTGGTCTGGTCTTGGTCTCGACCTCTTAAAGTATTGGTCTTGACTTGGTCTCACTTATGTATGATTATACATGTTTATTATAATGAAATTCTGGTTATAATTCAGAGTTATTTCATTTCATTTCATTTTTATTTGTTTTATTAAGTTATGCACAACTTAATGTATAACAATTATTTACAAAACATGTCTCTATAAACACACCATACCCGAAAAGGAGCAGGGAGAAGAAAATAATCTTATATTACCTGCCCCTTTCTAAAAAAATTAAATAAATATAAATAGATTGTCTGTCTTCCATATTTTCTTATTCACAGCCAATCATAACAGTATCGTAGGAAAATAAGAGAAACACAAAAACGTACAAAATAAAATACTTACTTCCCACTTGATAGTTAACGGAAACAAAAAAACAAAACAAAACAAGAACACCAAAACATCACATGTGCAAGGAAAAGTTCAACACCCTCATCTGAGTCCTACTGGAGTAGAAGGGGGAGAGTCTAATGGCGCATTTCCACTGCAGGGCCTCGCTCGGCTTAGTACGGTATAGTTAGGCCTTGGTAGGCCAGTCTCACTTTATGCTGCGTTTCCATTACAGTTTAGTAGCTGGGGCAGT